TTATTTACTTTGTATAATCTTTGACGTTCAGTTGATGAAAGCTACTTTGAGTTGATCTATTACTGAATGCTCATTTTTTAGCACGAAATCGTTTTTGGCGTTGAGCATTACTTAATACTTTTCGCTGCATCAACCTGTATCTGAATAGAACTAAAAAATCAATTAATTTTGGTGATTTGAAGACGTTCTCTCTGTTTAAAATATACGGTAAAACGAGGAAGAGCTATAGAGACAGGTTACACTTGACGCACTATATGTACTAATCCAGGACTAAAAAAATTAAACTTAATTGAGAAGGGTTAATCATAAAGGAATCAAAGGGTGTATGAAGGAAAACATTTTTAGATGCGTGGTAAACACAATTAATCATTGAAAATAAGCCCTAATAAATTCGTTTTACATTGTTTGCAACTTTAAGCTGAAGAGAGATTTGTATCGTCTTAAAATCAAGAATGCGTTGCGTGATAGAAAATAAGAGGATGGAACCCAGGTTTTCTGAAATAATCTGAAAATGAGGTAAACTCAAATATTGTTTCAATTAAATTCAAAACATATTGTAACGGAAATGGCCTGGGGTACTCACGTTTGGAATGGAATAGGAACTCGCACATGGTCGCTGTCATAATTATCAAATAACAGATCATTACTTAACACATTCATCATAAAATAGTTTTAGATAAGTTCTATATTGTTGAGGCGGATTCATTTTTTTACAAACTTCTTGTTGGGTATTTCGCCTATATATATATACTAACCAATATTTGAATTTCGACTCAAGTCACCCAATAATGATTTAAAAAGTTATCGTGAAAAGTCTATATGATAGAGCAAAATTAATTTGTAATCAATCTAATTTCAGACAAGATAACAAGATTGGTACCCCCAATAATAAACAACTGAACCTTCCACCAATGAATAATAAATCAATATTTTTAAAACCTATTGATAACCTTGAAATCCTAGAGATCATTCATAGTATCAATCTTAAAAATGGTGGTCTTAACAGAATTAATATCAAAACTGTAAAAACAATATCTTGGTACATTACTGATCCTTTGAAATGTATTTTTAACCTTTGTTTGGAGAACTCGATTTGGCCTAAGTGATTCCTATTTTCAAATCTGGTAAAAAGACTGATGTGTTCTAAATATTTGAGAAAATTATATATAAAACGTTATTGCTCAATATCGGTATTCTAGCCGGAAATCAACATGATTTCGTAAAAGATAAAGGTACGAAAAATGACCTAAGTTATTTAACTAGAAAATTGTATGATAATCTTGATAAAAGCAAACCTGTTGCTGTTGTTTCCATTGATCTTGCGAGAGTTTTTGATACAGTAGATCACAGTATCATGCACCTAAGCTTATGGCTGATTATTTGAGGGATAGAAAGCAACAGGTTAGACTGGATGATATGATCAGTGATTTTGAAACAATCAATACAGGAGACCCACAAGGGACAATATGGGGACTCTACTATTTATAATATATGTAAATGACTTGCTAACAGAGATGGCTAAAAATGCTATATCCTATGCGGATGATACAGCTATTATAGCACATGATAAGTCCTGGAGTAAAGTGGAGAGTAATATGGATGTATATTTCAATAAGGTTTCAACTTGGTTGGCCTTAAATAGGTTGTCGCTTAAATCGGTTGTACACTATTACGATAGTGTGTTCTAAAGAATATGAATATTCAAATAAAGAATAGTAGAATAAGTAGGGTTGAATCTTGTATTTGGGTATAAATTTTAATTACAACATAAGGTGGGATGTACATATAGATTATATTTAAAAAAATACTAAATATTTGGTATATATACTGTATAAAATGTCGAAGTATGTACAAGTAGAAATGCATCAAATGTTGCACTATACGCTTTTCCATAGTATTATCAGCTATGGTAATATTGCGGGTGGGGAGTGCCTATGATAACAGACTTTCGCTGCTACAAAAACGCCAGAATAGAGTTCTGAAAATTAGTAAGAAGAATACTTTCGATAAAGAAAGACCACTAACTATGCGGCAGCTTTTTGCATATGAATCTATTATCATTATCATCTCGCAAATATGTACTGCAATTTATCTAGAAAGACTAGGAACAAGAGTTTTCAACCACCAAAGTCAGTCAAAACTGTCAGTGTTAAAAATAATTATTGTAAAGCCATTAGAGTGTTTAATGAGCTTAATAATGATGTCAAAGTAATAGGTGTGAGCAAAAGTCTAGTAAAAAAAAGTTAAAGATTTGGATAAGAACTATGTATTAGTATGATTCCGATTTGCTGGTTGCCTGTCTATCTTCTGTTGTGTCTGTTATTTTTGGTTTTCGTTTTAAGTTTCTGTTTTAAGCTTTTTTTCTATATATTAATTTTGCGTATACTGGACTGCGTACAGGTAATTTATTCACCTCTGCAGAATTACAATCTATATGTAATTTATTTTCTGATATTAAATAAATAAATAAATAAATACATGGCGAATCTGCTGTATCAACGGCTAGGGCTTTACGAGCAGAATACGGTCGACATATTCGACCCACAGAGGCAACAATTTCGTATACAGCGGAAGAATTTGAAGACACTGGATCGGTTGCTGATATTGTAAGGCCTGTGCATGATAGCAACATTCGTTCAGCTGAAAATATCGCTGTTGTTGCTCAAAGTGTGGAGAAAGACCCGAAGTCGTCGATTCCACGACGTGCTCAATACTTGGGCGTG